CTAGAATGTTCTTACAAAAAGCCCAGATGTTTCCCCAGAAGGGCAAGGCAGGTCCCCCGGAGCAGTGTGGTCTGTATAAGGTCCAGGTTCCTCCCTGCAAGCCCCCTGCTGCATGCAGGCTACTACTGGGCCACCCTATGTCTCTGCAGGCCTGGATGTTGCTCTGGCTGCTTTTGCCTTGAGCCACGACCTGACTTGGTTTCTGACCCAGAGGCCTCATGTGTACATATCTATATAGAGGGTGTGTGTGCACATGTGTGCGTGTATGTGTGTGTGTGTGACGGTGTAGCCGTGGGCTACCTTGGGAGTTTGAGGTGGGTGGTGAGGCAGGTGGAGGCAGCTGCCCTTTCCACTGCAGGCAGCAAGAATCAGCTTATGTTCTGCTTCTTTTCCAATGCTTCACAGCCCGCATGTGCCAGGGCAATGATTCAGCCCATATCTCCACCCTTCTGTGTGCCCCTCTGCTCCCCCACCCTGCCCTCCACCTGGCCACCTTGTCGATGTCCTCGTGCCTCACAGGGAAGGAGAAGGTGAAACCCAGGGGCAGTTTCTTGTGCTTCATCTGGTGCTTATCCAGGAAGTCGGAGATGCACTCGGAGATGTAGTCGAAGAGCTGGAAGACACAGTGAGCTGGCCATTAGGTGCAGGGCTGGGCCGGCCAGTAGCCCTCACTGGGCTGGGGTCACAGTGCTTCCCAGGGTGTCGGACCCGGACTGCCTGGCCCACCCTCAGCTCGCCTCCTGCTGTTGGCCCGGACTCAGGCCCCGGGGCTCCCCCATGGCAGCCCCGGCTGTGCCATTGGCCCAGTCCCCCACTAGAGGACAGGAGGCGAGGCCTCAGACCTGGCTGGCTGCTCTGTGAGGCCCAGGTGGAGGCACATTCCCGGCCATAGCTATGACTTTTGTCTCCTTCTCTACTTCTGGTGTCCTGTCTGCAGATGAACCAAGCTCACTTTTGGGCCCCAGGGCCTGGGGTGCCCACTCTATGCCTTGCTGCCCAGTTCTACTAACAGACAGCAAGCTGTAGGCAGGTGAGGGCTGGACAGTGTTTGTGGGGGCTTCTGCCTGGAACCTGGCCCTTAGGGCTGCTCAATTTTTTGTTTCTGGTTTTATTTTCTGAGATAGGGTCTTGCTGTGTAGCCCAGGCTGGCCTCGAACTCATGATGATCCTTCTGCCTCAGCCTCCGGAGTGCTGGGGTTTCAGATGTGCACCATCACACCCTGCTCAATTTTTATATGTTGACGTTTCCTCTGGGAAAGTGGACAGAGAACCACCAACTGGGGGTCTCTGCCCCTGCAGCCTCTCCAACCCAATGAATCCCTCCTGCAGCACAAGGACATGGGACTTGGGACCCATTGGCCAGGCCTAGAGACTCTGCTGAGGCCTCTGGGCTGCCTCCTGCCCGGTGGGTGAGTGGGTGGATGAGCCCCGGAGCTCCTGGTGACCTCACCCCGGCTCACCATCTCTGCGGTGCCCGTCATGGCGTCCTCGGGGATGGAGTACATCTGGTGTTTGGTCTTCACGCTCCATTGTCCCTCCTCCCCCTCCCCCACCTTCACCAGCATCACCCTGAAGTTGGTGCCCCCCAGGTCGAGGGACAGGAAGTCTCCGACTTCTGCAGACAAAGAGAGACACACTCAGGCTGCATTGCCTGGCAGGCTTGGCCTGGGAGGGACCCAGGCAGTTGGCCTGGGACAGTGGGATGTGGAGTCACCAGCCCAGACTTTGGGGGCAAGTGGGAGGGGTCAAAGGCACATTGGAGAAATGTCAGTGGGAACCGCAGCCTTAGCCAGAGCCCTAGGAGCCAGTGAGGGCCTGGACTCGGGATGGGGCTGGGGTCCCCAAGTGACCATGGAGAGAGGTCCCCTATTATGAGATTTAAAAAGCCAGTGGCATCCCAGGGCTGGACCTGTGGAGCCAAGGGTGGGTGAGTTGGGGACATTATCACATGTGCAGGGCTCCTTTCTGGGGACAGCAGAGCTTCTGGCAGTGCCATCCCTGCGGTACCTGAGCCTTCTGGGGTGGAACGCACGTAGGTGGGCAGCATCTTCACGCTGGCCTCCTCGTGGGTCTCCAGCCGCAGTCCACGGTCCATCTCCTTCTGCATTCGCCGCATCACCTTCTTCAGGTCCTCCTCCTGCAGCTGGAACTCTGCCAGGATCTGCTCCGCCTGCAGGAAGGGTGTGCACTCGGGTCTCCTGCTGGGGTGACCCATATTTCCACGCCACCCACCACAGTTGAAGGGGAAGAGTTCTGGGATCAGCCCTTGACATTACCCTGGGTGTGCTGGAGGGGCCAGCAGCTTTTGTCCCTGGTGCTATCCTTGTGGCCCAATGTCTGGCAGCACCTCTTGGTGGCCCTCAGATCAGGGGTAAGGGGAGAAGAGGGGCACTTCCCGGGGAGCTGGTGAGACAGGGCTGGAGCCCATCAGGAGGGTGGGCAGCTGGCATCACTGTGCAAAGACCTGGTCGCCCTTCCTCTAGGGCCTTCTGGAGTAGAGGGGCCAGCCAGCACTGGTGTGCACAGGGTGGCTGAGGCAAGGCTGGTTGGAGTGAGCCACTGTGCCTGTCCTCTGGCCATCAGGGGTCTGCCAGCCAGGCACGGCATCCAGGGTGTGGCGGCTGAGCCCAGGGGGCGGGTCTCTGTGCACTAGTGTGAGGCCAGGAAGCTCAGGTTCGACCAGCGCCACTCCCATGGGTGTCTGAGAACAGGCCTGGACTCCAGTGAGGGCAAACCTGGGGTCCCCAGTGAGCACAGCCCCGTGCTTGTTCCATTTGCCCTGCAGTGCACATTCATGGAGAAAGGCCACGTGGGCACTCTAGACAGTGGTAAGCAAAGCAAATCTTGAAGATACTTTCAAGCCAGGCATATAGTCATACTACTCTGAGAGGCTGAGGCTGGAGGATTGCAAGCTTGAGCCCAGTCTGGGCAATTTAGCAACTTAATGAGGCGCTGTCTCAAAATAAAAAAAATTAAAAAGGGCTGGGGATGTAGCTCAGCGCTCTGGGTTCAGTCCCCACCACTGCAAACAAAAACAAACCAAAACCCCAAAAGATATTTGCATTTTTAACCAAAAAAGAAAAAGTAAAGCTACTCTGATAAAAGCCATAGATCCACTTTTTTGTTGTTGTTGGGGTTTTTTGTTGTTGTTGTTGTTGTTGTTATTGTCTTTTAGACAGGGTCTCACTGTGTAGTTCAGGTTGGCCTCAAACTTACTATGTAGCCCAGGCTGGCCTCGAATTCACAGCAATTCTCCTGCCTCAGCCTCCGAGTGCTAGGTTTACAGGAGTGCACCATCAGCTAGGATATAGATCCACTCTTTATAGGAGCTTGCTCTCTTTTGTCTTATACAGGAGCTGGAGATGCTCTGAATTACATCCAGGAGACAACACGCCATTTGCTGCTGCTGCTTCTTTTTTTTTTTGATACCAGGAAGTGAACTCAGGACCTTGTGCTTTTGAGGCAGGTGACAGAACCACTGAGCTAAATCCCTGGCCCCCTTTGCTTCTTCTTCCTCAGATTTTTAGAACCTGGATTTTGTTCAGGTGGTAGGGTAGCACATTAAGGCAAGACTAGGCTTGGCCAAGCACAGCAATTGTATCCTTTTTGGCATTGGATATGTGGCCCAGTTCTGGTCAATGGCAAAGGAAGGGAATACTGATTTTAGCAGGAGGGAGAAGTTCAGGGCTCCCCACATTTGTGAGCATGGCTGTATGAGGGTGTGATGACTGGCAATGCAGCAGCCATTTGGCAACTATAAGGAGACAAGGCCGTTAGCACACTACAGATGGCAGAGAAGAGAGATTGATGCTGGGCCCCCCAACTCTACTTGCAGGCTATGGAGCAAATAATAACCACTGAAGCCACAGATAATGAGTAGATTGGTTTCCTGTAGCCGAGAGCACTCCTAATGCATATGGACCCCTAGTTAAGAGTCATTTTTAAAAGGGCCCCAGACTTAAACTTATCCCCAGGGAAGATCAGAAAGGAAAGGGTCTGACAAGGGCTCTGACAGAACAGACTCATCCCCAAGATGGCACTGTTCTGCCACTGGGTATGGGCAGGAATGCAGCTGGGGTTTTGGGAGGATAAGGGCACAGGGAGTGGCTAGGGGATGTCCCGCTGGAGACACACACTGGGCAGCCCTCAGTATGGAGATGCCCTTAAGGCCTCGGAGGTCACCCAGGCATCCTGGTTGGATAGCAGAGGAGAGCCATGAGGAGGTCCGGCAGGATGCAGCAAGCTGACTTTGAGATCCCAACCCATCCCCAGAATGTAGTGAAAAGCAGGGCACCATGGAGGGCTGGGTTTCACGGTGAGGACAGTGGCGGGCTCTGTCCAGCCCTGGGGGACACCCATGGGACCACAGGCTCCTGAACATCTGGGCGAGGGGTCCAGAGCCTCCCCAGCAGAGCCTGGCCCCTCCGCTCCCCGGTGCTGGGGTGGTCGTGTGCGCAATGCCAGCTGCCCACATGCTCGCAGCACTGGGCATAGCCCCAGTTGGGGCTTTTTCAGCCCAGCACCAAGTTCCTGGGGCTCCTGAAAAGGGGACAGCGGCAGCCCTGTGAGGAGGGTGAGAGCTGTATCCAGGCCCCCCAGAGGCCTGCACACCTTTGAGGGGTCCCCACCTGCTCGCCACCCCCGGCCCCAACCTGGCTTCTGCAAACTGAGGATGCTGGCCGGGGCCCTGGCTCTGGTGACCCTTACCAGCGTCAAGGCTGCCTGGACTCTGCTCCTGGCCTCGTCCATGGCTGTCTGTCTGAGGAGCCACCAGGGAGGTTTGGGGAGTGGAGCTGCCGCTGCCTGCTGAGGCTGGAGTGTGGCTGCCACTGTGGTGTCTGAGGACACCTTGGGCGGGTGAGGCTGCCTGGCTTGAGGTGCTTCTGGCTGAAGCACTCAGTGGGCAGCTACTGAAATACTCTGCCCACTGTGGCGGGGTCAGGGGCAGGGCCAGAAGGGCAGAGTAGTCTCATGGGGTCAGGGTTGCCAAGGGCCCTGGGCTATGGGGCAGGCTGCCATGCCCACAGAGCACAGGATGAGACTGCAGCTGGGGGCATGGCTGAGCCAGCGGGTGCACTCTCCACTCCTGGACGCTCAGCAGAAAGAGGTGACTGGCCATCCGGTCGCGATGGGAAGGGGGATCCCTTGGGTTTCCAGCTGTGGGGGGCCTGGCGTGCATTGTGAACAGACTGGGGTGCCCCATGGTGCTCTGGTGGGAGGGAGTCACCCGTGTTAAGAAGGCCAGGGGTGTGTAGGAAGGTGGCTTGGGTCACAGTGGGGGACCCGAATGGGCAGTGGAGGATCCGGGGCTCAGATGTTCAGGGGAGTTCAGTGACTCGAGGGTGTAGGGTCCCCCATGCCCACTGACACGAAGCTTCCTGGCCACACGAGCAGGAGCAGGTGCACATCCCCAGGGCTGCCCTGAGTGATCCCCAAGTAAAAAATATGAGCTTTAGTCAGCACTCTTCAACTGTCAGTCAAAGATCCCATCTCAAAGCACCTTGATCCAAAAAAACCCCCAAAAGTGGGGCAGTCATTAGGTTTTGCCACTTCAAATTTCAGGCCCAGGGCTGACTCGGGACATACCTGTGGGGTGGAGATGCACCCCCGGCCCCTCCTTGGGCTTGCCTGGGAGTGACCCCAACAGACCCTGCCCTGGCTGGCACCTTCCAAGCCCTGCTAAAATTAGCCACAGTTGCAGGTGGGTCAGGGTACAGAGGGTTCCTTGTGGAGATGCTGGGCTCATCCGCCAATGGCCACTGTGGTCCCCCCGGAGATGATTGATCCTTTTCCCAAAATAAAGCAAAGACGGCCTCACCAGACCTCATGTGACAGGTCGATGACCCTGCACCCCTTGTTTGCTGTGGGGGCAGGGCTCCTGTCGGAGCTCGGAGCTGGCTAGGCCGGGGATCAGCTGCCCCGGAGCCATGCTGCTGACAGTAAGGCAGGTCCAGCTCTTCTTGCTCCTTTCCTTGGGTGGCGAGGCCATGGCCAAGAACTTGGTGTGTGTGCTGTGTGTGGTACTAGTTATTGAACCCAGGGCCTTTGCACTGGGCTACAGACCCAGCCTGTTATATTTTTTAGTTTGAGACAGGGCCTTGCCAAGTTGCACAGGCTGGCCTCGAACTTGAGATCCTCCTGCTTCAGCCCCCAGAGTAGCTGGGATTACAGGCCTGTGCCACCACACCTAGCTCTGCTCAGAACTTTCCAGAAAAAACCCCAGAGCTATGTGATAATGGGCCAGGATGTTTTCGCAGGTGGTGAGCTCCCCATTGGGGTGGAGAGGAGCGGATTACAGTGGCCCTGCTCTGGGTTCCCATTGACTTTCCTGACCTATCTGTTCAAGGAGCTGCCTCACCGGCCTGGCCTGATTTTCATTTTCATTTATCTCAAGGAAACAGTGTTACAAATTCAGTCAAGGATATCAAGATTATTCCTTCAGGTATCAAAAAATGGCACAGGTCCCACATATCCAAATGCTGTATAGGGAGCTGACTAAATAAACGTGCAGTCATTGCAAATGGTGAGGGGAAAAAAGAAAAGAAAAGAAAAAGAAAATGGTGAGGTTGATAGATGGTTGTTTAAAGGAACTGTTTATTTCTTAACTTTTGAATTTTTTGAGACAGAGTCATGCTATGTAGTTTAGACTCGTCTTGAACTGATTATGTAGCCCAAGATGGCCTTGAACTCATGATCCTGCCTCAGCTTCTGGAGTGCTGGGATTACGTGTGTTCTACCATGTCTGGTTTAAAGGAACTGTTTAAAGGAACCTGGTAGAAGCCACGGAGAGGGACCGGAGCCTGGGCCATGAAGGACGTGTGGCTCCTGTCTTTCTTTGGATTGTTCACTGTGGGGAGGCCACTACCATGCCACTTGGACAGTCAAGCCCTTGGGAAGATCTAACCCAGGAGGAAGCCCCTGTCCCCAGGCTGCATCCCCGCCAGGCCTGTGGTAGAACCTCTTGGAAGTCACAGCCCCGCCAGGCCCCTTGAGGGCAACCTGAGCCGCTTCTGAGTTTCTGCCCTGCAGAGACCTGTGAGTTGGCAAAGGTTTGTTGTTTAAAGTCACTGAGTCTGGAGGTGATGTGTTCCATAATACTGCTAACTACAGGTGGAAAACAGAAAACATGGTATGGTCCGTTTTGTCACAGATACATGTTGGTGATATAGAAAATATACATATGGGAGAGTTAGGTGCAATGGTGCACACCTGTAATCCCACCTGCTCCAGAGGCTGAGGCAGGAGGATCGAAGGTTTGAGGCCACCCTGGGTACCTAGATGAGACCCTGACTCAAAACAATAAAGAGGGATGGGGATGCAACTCCAGGGTAGAGCACATGTCTAGCATCCACATCACCCTGGCTTCAGCCCCCAGCACCAAAGAAAAGGACAAGACTAGAAAGATTGGGTCTTGTCTACTATTTTTGCTCAGAAGTTCCAACTGTAAAGGATAGAGGCCCACAGTTAAATGGGCCAAAATCCCAGACCCCTATCCTGTGGGAAGGGAGGTGGGGCAAGGAAGCCCAGGAGCCCGCAGTGCCAGCCCTCCCCACACCCTGTGCTTGAACTGCCCCCTCATCACCTGATGCCAAGCGCAGGCCACTGATGCAACAGGGCCTGGAGGTCACCAGTGTCGCAAGTGTTTGCTCTCTGCAGGGCAGACTTGAGCCGGGCTGAGGGCCAGGCTGGGGCCCGTCAAAGAGAGGGTGTTGGGCAGCGGTGGTTTAGGGCCAGGACACCAGGGACAGTGGGTAAGGGGGAGCTGGGATCGGAGACAGCAAAGTATGCTGGGGTCCTATGCCACAGGTAGTGTGTGATGCCAGACCCTGACACTGAGTCCACTGGGCCCATGTGCTGTGGGGAGACTGAGAGCGAGGCTGAGCTGGGAGTTAGGGGTCTTCCCTGGATGCACCAGCCAGAAGGCCCTCAGCCAGGATACGCCCAGTCATTCTGATTCCAGGTTATAAGAGTTCAGTCTTCTTGACCAGATGTGGATCTCTCCAGGGCCAAGCTACACCTGTAGGTATGTGAGGTTCCCAGCAGGAGCCCAGAGGGTGACTCCGCCACTCACTGGCCTGCCCTGGGGCTGGGGGAAAGTCCCCTTGCATTTCTGCACTTTGGTTTTTTCATCAGCAAAGGGTTGTCGCACCTCACCTTCCTCACAGGGCTCCTGAGAGGGGGCAGCGGCATAATGCAGAAAAGGCTCTCAACACACATGGGTCCTTCAATTCCGTGTATCTGCTGTTGCCACCAAAGGAAGTTCCATCATGGATTAGAGTGGAGGACATGGGCAGACCCTGTCCCTACAGCAGGTCTGATGCCAAACTCCCACCCTTAGAGGGCCCTAAAGAGGCAGGCCAAGTGGTACAGCCTCTCTGCTGCTGCTCCTACACTGAACCAGTGAAGCTTCTGTCTGAAAAGGGATCGACCAGAGGTGACATCATTGGAAATAGAAGATTATGAAGTTCCAGGGGTTGGTGCTTCCGTCTAAACAGGCTTTCAATTATTTTTTTTAAAAAATCTTATAAGAATCAACTACTGCCAGGCATGGTAGTGCTCGCCTGTAATCCCAGCACTTGGGAGGCAGAGACAGGAGGATTACCTCAAGTTCAAGGCCAGCCTGGGCTACATAGTGAGTTCAGGGCCAGCTTGAACTACAAAGAGAGACCCTGTCTCAAAAAAAAAAAAGAATCAACTACTCTAGAAACTGGGCTCTGATTTGACCCATGTGTCACCCACAGGAGGGCCTGGTGAAGGGAGAGGCTCATGATGGTTTGTAAGGGGGTGACAGAGCTGAACCAGCTACCATCTGCCATCTGTAGCCCTCTGGGGTCACGGCGACCATTTCTGTGCTCCTGGCAGCTGGATGGAACAAGGTGGGCAGAAAGGATCTCACCTTCTAGTTTGGGTTGTGGCTTTTGGTTGATCTGGTGGATCCCTAAGGGACCAGACCATAGCCTGTCTTTGTTTCTGGCCCTGGGGCTGCAGTAGCTTCCTGGTGAAAGCTGTCAGAGACTTAGAGATATACATGCTGGGTTTTCTGTTTGTTTGTATTGGTACAGGGGATCATCGAACTCACGACCTTGCGCTTGCAAGGCAGACGCACAATGCCACTGAGCTAAATCCCCGGCTCTGTTTGTTTTTTAATCTATACATTTAAGTCATTATTTTTCAGCTCAATGCTAACTGCAGAAACATCAGAACAGAAACACCAGTCACCATACAGAAAAAAATACAGGCTTTGCAGAAATAGTTCGGAAAAATCACAATACAAATGGACAACTGCAGACCTCAGCAAGCAAAATATGAGAGGGAGAATCTGATTTCCAGGATTACCATATTGTGCTACTCCAAATGCCTAGCTCTATAAATATTACAAAGCATACAAAGAAACAGGGAAATATAGTGCAATCATAGGAAAAAATAATTCAAAACCATTTCTAAGAACTATTCCTTAGAAAGGCCAAGTTAAATCCCAAGCTAGCTGAAGGAAAGAAATAAAAAACATAAAAGTGAATATAAATGAAATAGTAGAAAACAAGAGAGAAAAATTAAGGAGAACAAAAGTTGGTTCTTTGAAACATTCAACAAAATTGATAAACCTTTAGCTAGATTTTAGAGAGAGAGAGCGGGAAAGAGAGAGGGAGAGGGGGGAGGCCCAAATTACGTAAGTCATCAACAGAAAAGTGGACATTATTATCAATGTTACTGTGAACAACTGTAAATCAATAAATTGGATAATGTAGGTGAAATGGGAAAAATTGCTGGAAACACATGAACTGCCAAAGCTCTCAGGAAGAAATTTTGAAAAATTTGATTAACCTAAAAGCAAGTCACAAGGAATTTGAGCTAGTGATTAAAAACCTACCAAAAGAAACAAAACAAAACAAGACACCAGGACCAGACAGATGGCTTCACTGGTGAATTCTACCAAACCTTATAAGAATTAACACCTGTCTTCTCACCCTTCCAAAAACACCAAAGAGAATGAAATACTTCCTGATTCATTCAATTTTCCTGATTTTGAACCCAGAGAATGAAAGCTACAAGAAAGCTATGGGCCAATATCCCTTATGAATATAGATGCAGAAATTCCCAACAAAATGCTAGCAAACAAAAGGGATATGCAGCATGTTAAAAGGATTATACACCATGACCAAGTGGGATTTATTCTAGGGATGCAAAGGTGATTCAACATATAAAAATCAATCAATGTAATATACCACATTAATCAGATAAGAGAAAGAAACTAGATGGCCTTATCAACTGATTCAGGAAAGTATCTGAAAAATCCAGCACCTTGTCATGATCAGAACACTCCAGAAGGGAATTTCCTCAACAGGACAAAAGGCATAGGTGAAACTCATACAGCTAACATCATACTCAGTGGTAAAAGACAAAGTTTTTCCCACTAAGATCAGGAACAAGGCAAGAATATCCACTTTTGTTACTTCTAGTCAACATAGCCCTGCAATTTCTAACCAGACCAACTGGGGAAGGAAAACAAACAGAAATTCAACCTGGAAAGTGCTATGGTCTGAATGTGTCCTCTCAAAATTCATATCCAAAATCCTAATCCCCAAGGTGATGAGATTAGGAGGTAAGGACTTGAAGAGATAATTAGGTCATAGAGGCAGAGCCTTCATGGATAGGATTAATGCCATTAAAAAGTGTCCCCTACCCCCAAAAGCTTCTGTGTCCTTCCACCAGGGGGTCAGGGGACAATGAGAATGTGGCGTGAAGAATGGCCCTCACCAGCTGACCTTAGATTTCCCAGAATGCACAACTGTGAGAAGTAAATTTGTGTTGCTTATACATTGCCCAGTTTATGGTATTTTGTTATAGTATCTAGGATGGACTAAGACAGAAAGGAAGAAGTAAAAGTATTTCTGATGACAAGAACTTCCATGTAGAAAGTCATAAATCACTCACTAAAATGTTGTAGCTAAAAACCTCATTCAACAAAGTTGTAGGATACAAAAATTATGACACACAAATTAGTTGTATTTTTTATATACTAATGAAAATAACCCAAACAAGAAACTAAGAAAGCAATTCCATTTATGACAGCATCAAAAAGAATGAAATACTAGGGCCAGGGATTTAGCTCAGTGGTTCTGCCGCCTGCCTCACAACTGCAAGGTCCCGAGTTTGATCCCTGGTACCTAAAAAAAAAAAAAAAAAAAAGGAAATACTTAGAAATGAACTTAATCAAGGAGGTGAAAGACTTGTACACTGAAAAACTATAAAACATTGCTAAAAGAAAGTAGAGGAGGCCAAAGTAAATGGAAAGACATTGTGTTCATGCATTAGAACACAATATTGTTGAGATGCTATATCTACCCAAAATGACATTCAGATTCTAGGTAATTCTTACCGAAATCTCAAATTTTTTTTTCAGAAGTGGGAAAACCTATCTTACAATCTATATGGAATCTCAAAAGACCCTGGATATTCAAACCAATTTTGGAAAAAAAGGGCACAAAGACAGAAGAGTCACTTGTCTTGATTTCAAACTTACTAGAAAGTGTTGACCTAGTGACAGACGCATAGACCAATGGAATAGAAGAGTCCAGAAACAAATCATCTCAGATATGATTACTTGGTTTTTAGCAAAGGTCCAAGATCATTTAATGGGGAAAAGAACAATTTCTTCAATAAATAGGGCTAGGAAAATTAGATGTGTAGAAGAATGAGTTTGGACTATGACAAAAAATCCTTTGACCTTAGATTTGGTAATGAGTATTCTTCTAACACTGGGGATTGAACTCAGGGTCTTGTGCCTGCCAGGGAAGTGCTCTACCACTGAGCTACACCCCTATCCCTGACAATGATTTTTTCAGAGTGAGACAAAATGTATGTGCAGCACAAGGAAAACCAGGTAAATCAGACTTCAGTGGCATTTAAGAGCTGGGTGTGGCGTTGCATATCTGTAGTTCCAGCTACTTGGGAAGCTGAGGCAGGAGGATTGCTTGAGTACAGGAAAGGGGATATAGCAAGACCCTCACCACAAGTCACAATATGCCCCTCTCCCCCAATTAAAGCTTTGTGAATTGAAATATTTGCAAATCTTATTTGTTAGGGATTTAATATCCAGGGTTTAATATAACGAACTCTTACGACCCAACCAAAAAGATAAAAACAAAAGATAAACAACCGAATTTATTGGGTAAAGGATTAGAACAGACATTTCTCCCATGAAGATTTAGGAGTGGACAAAAAGTACTTGGAAAGATATTCACCATCATCAGTCTCCTGGGAAAGGCAAATCAAAACCATGAGCTGCCACTTCACATCCACTAGGACAGCTGTATTAAAAAAGGAATAAAACCAGAAAATAGCAAGCATTGGCAAAGATGAAGAAATTGGCAAAGGAGAAAGTGGGTCCCTCATCCACTGCTGGTGAGAAGGTAAAATGGTTCAGTTGCTATGGAAAACAGTTTTGTAATTCATCAAAAGATTAAGCATAGAACTACTATGTGATCCAGTAGTTGTACTCCTAAGTATATTCTCTTAATTAATTGAAAACAGGAACTCAAGCAGATAATGCAGTGTCCACAGCAGCATTACCCACAATAGGCAAAAGGCAGACAGAACTTACCTGTCTACCAACAGAGGAGTGAATAAGGAGCTTGTTGTATATGCTGGTCAGCGGTGGAAATGAATGAAGTTCTGAATAGGCTATCACGTGGCTAATCCTTGACCACGTTATGCTAAGTAAAAGGACTTTTGTATGAATTCCACTTATATAAATATAACAGGCAAATTGACAGAAACAGAAAACAGAATAGTGACTACTAAGGACGTGTGGGGAGTGGGAAGTTGCTGAGTTCCTGAATGGGATGATGAAATCATTCTGGGAATGGTCGGCTGTTGCACAATGCTGTGAGTGTACCTAATGCCACTGAATTGTAGCCTTAAGAGTGGTTCATATGGCAACTTTTATGGGTACGCATTTCATCACACCTTTCATAAGAAAGAATAATTAATCAGCTAATCTATTTCCATTGAGCAAGTGGGTTTTTCCTCCTTGAATGGAATCACCACTTGTCACACCGATGTGCTCATCGCTTCAGCCCTGCTGGGATCCTGAGGTCTGGGCTATTCCAAAGTGAGAGTTCCGCCCCGGGGTAGGTTTCAGCAAAGGCCCATTCAGACAAGTCAGTAAGCAAAGGGACGCAGTGCTGTGTTGGAGCTTAATCTGTGGGGCTGCTCCCCTCCAGGTCTTGCCATTACTTAAGAGGGGGAGGAGGGTAAGCAGAGAGAAAGCAGACAGGAGAACTTTGCTGTGGTTCCTGGCACATTTTGCTTCCTGTGAGCAAAGAGATGAGATGGTGGCCAAAGGATGTGACAATGTGTGCGTTAAGACCAGAAGATGGTGGGAATTTCAGTCCACCCTGGAGGTGGATCTGGTGTCCCCTCTAGGAACACACATATCCAAGCAAGGGGCCTGCTTAGTGAGATTTTGTTGTTGATTAGGGCATGCCCTTGTTTTCCATTCTTTCTCTTTCCACACGGGAATGTTTATAGTGGATACAGCTATAATTTAGGTTTTAAGTGTCCCCTAAAGGCCCATGTGTTAATTAAAGGCTTGGTCCCCAGGATGGTGCCCCAGGGAGATGGTAGAGCCTTTAATAGGTAGGGCCTAGAGAGAAGTCTTTAGGTCATTGGGGGCATGGCCTGGAAGGGGATCATGGGAGTCCAGCTCCTTTCTCTTCTCTTTCTCTTCCTAGCCATAGATGAATGGTTTTGCTCCACCCCATGCTCCTACCATCATGTGCTGCCACAGAGCTAAAGTAATAGTCAACAGACCATGGACTGAAGTCTCTAAAACTGTAAGCAAAATTAAATCTTTCTCTCTCTCTTTCTCTCTCTCTCTCTCTCTCTCTCTGGGTTTTTTGAGACAGTCTCACTATGTAGTCCAGGTTGGCCTTGAACTCACTATGTAGCCTAGGGTGGCCTCAAACTCACGGTGATCCTCCTGCCTCAGCCTCCTGAGTGCTGGGATTACAGGCATGCACCACCACCCTGGCTCTGTTCCAATTTAGTACACATGCTGCCTACACAAGCAGGGTCCACTTAGTGTTTAACTCCTAGGGACCTTGGCATCTAGCAAAAAAGACAAATGACTTCCAAACTGACAAAGCTACGGGGGCTTTGGGAACTGATAGGTTTTCTCTGGAGCAATGAGTCAGGGCTTCTTAGGGCTCTTTCTTGCAGCCCTTGGCGTAGAAGAAGCACATTCCAGAGAGGGGACTTCAGGACTCACAGTAGTATGAGCATCTCAGGAGGCTCAGAGCCAGGTACACAGAGGGGCTGTCGGCCCCTAAGGCTGAGGCAATGCGGAGACTATTGCAACGCAATGCTGTGCACGTTGGAAGGGGAGGCACTGCTCAAGTGGCATTTGGGTCAAAGAGGGACTCTGCCTTAGATTACAGGCCTATTGGGGCTTCACCCTGAGCCCAGCCTTTTTAAAATTTTTTATTTGAGGCAGGGCCACTAAGTTGTCCAGGCTGGGCTTGAACCTGTGATCCTCCTGCCTCAGTCTCCCAGAGCGCTGGTCTTACAGTCCTGAACTACCACCCTCGGCTGAATTTCAGACTCTTTATAAATGAATGACCAGGAAAGCCTGGCTAAAAAGTGTGGCTGATGGACAAAGCGCCATGCAGGGAAACATTCTAACCTGAATATGCACTTAATAAAAACTAAGTGGAGGCCTGGGGATTTACCTCAGTGGTTTCGCCGCCTGCCTCGCAAGCACAAGGTCCTGAGTTCGATCCCCAGTACCAAAAAAAAAAGTGGAAAATCAGTGAGCAAAGCATTTTTCTCAAGATGCCAAAAACTCCAACACAGAGAAGATACAGTAAACAAGAGGAAAATTGGAATAAAGGAATCCATAATGATACAGATAGAAACAATACAGAAAACACACAAACAGAAGCAACTGTGATTTGATCAATAAATCCCAACCTAGTTCTTCTTAAGATAAAACAAACAAATAAACAAGCAAAAACCCAATAAACTGGGTATGGTGGAGCACACCTATAATCTCTGGGAGGCTGAGGCAGGGGAATCACAGTTCTAGCCTAGCTTGGGCAATTTAGACTGAGTGAGACCCTGTCTCAAACAACAACAACAACAACAACAACAACAACAACAACAACGAAAAAACCAAAAAAACCTAGAGATGTAGCTCAATGCAAAGGCTCTGGGTTCAATCCCCTATACCAATAAATATATAAATAAACAAAGCAATAGATAGATAACTAGATGAATAAAATAGATGGGCACTTGGTATTCTGATGAAGCACAGCAGAAAAGACATTATTAAACAACTTCAGGAATGAAGAAGGGATTTCATTACAGAGAATTTTCTATGCAAAACTTACATCAATAGATGTTATAAATAGATAGGATATGGAAGATTTTCAAATAATATAAATTATCAAAATTGAGGGGAAAACTTAAACGATAGAAGAAATGTTAACAAATGGTGGTCCTAGAAATCAGCCTTGGAGGTAGGTCCTTTTGCAAATGATGAGATGAGGATCCCTCACTGGTGGGGGGCAAGCAATGGCTCTCCCTGTGGCACCACCACTCTAGGGGGCCGAGACAGGGGGATCACAAGTTTGAGCCCAGGCTGGGCAACTTAGTGATTTAGCAAGACCCTGTCCCCAAGTAAAAAATAAAAAGGGCTCAGGATGCAGCTCAGTGCTAAGGCCCTGGGTTTAATTCCAGTACTACAGAAGAAGAAGAGGAGCAGGAGGAGGAGGCCATTGCAGCCCGGTGTCACCTGCCCAGTGAACTGCCACTCGGTGTTGGTGTTGACGGCGGGGCCTCAGTGCTCCTACGGCAGGGCAGACACTTTCTTGTCCCCTGAGAGCCAGTGTCCCTCCCTCTTCCCCACAGGGTCTCCATTTGCTCAGGGTTGGATGGCAACGTGACCCACCTGCCTTGGGCTCTGCCCACACCTGCTGACAGAAGCCCCCTCTGCTCCGAGACATGGCTGGGTCTGTCTGTGTCTCTAGACAGGTATGGCTCCCATGATGCAAGGGCGAGACCATCCACCAACTCCAAGCCAGCTCTATATTTTGCTTCCCCTTGGAATGGGGCAGCAGAGGCAATAACTGACCAACCACCCTGATCCTGGATGAGGACAATGCCTGGGAAGAGAAGGGAGCAACGAGACTCTGTGGCCGTTGACATTTAGTACAACAGTCTACTTGAACCCTCTCCCCATGGCCTACATCCAGGAGAGACCAGAGGGCTGATTGCATTTCCCATCTACCAACAGGAGCAGTAACTTATCTTTTTCTGTTTTCTTTTTTTCTGAAAACTGCAGTTCAAACTGCAGAACCGTTTTTAAAAATTAATTCTATTGGTACATTTTAGGTATACAATATAATGACATTCATCATTGGAGATTTGTATATCTTGATTCTTATTTATCATATCAGATTGATTATTTTTTCAAATTTTTCTTTTTCATTCTCTAGTTCCCGCCCCCCTCTACATTTACTAGTATAACTACTAAGAGTTATGACACTCTAGATAGCTAGTTGACTTTATTACTGTTGAATACTGTTCTATTGTTATTGAGGTAAAGTTGTTCCATTTAGTAGATATTTACTGTAGGTCAGTAGTGGGTCAATAATTGTACTGTAGGTCACATTACAATTATAGACCTCATTTTTATGATTGAGCATGGTACATTATTGGCCCTTAAGGGTATTCAATACTCAGTTTGTAATTGATGCTGATTTTATTACTGTAGCCAAGGTGATATAATGATATTATTAATTGGTTTTCTTGGGATCTCAGTATCTGGACTGCCTTAGGGTCATTGACAATAGTGTGGTACAGTCCAGGAGAGCTGAGTACTGAGCCAAATATCCTGCAACCTCCCACCCCAAATAAATGGAGGTGGTTGGTTCCTGGGACAGAGGCAAAGGCCTATAGTTAGCCATGCCCAGGGACAACACTGAAAAGTAGAAATTAACTAGTGAGGTCTCCACACCAGTAACAAAGCTTTTCACTACAATCAATCTGTAAGCCTCAACACAAAAACAAAAAACAAACATACAAAAAAATGGAAATATGAGAAGGCAGGGCAACAAATTGCCTCCAAAAACTCCCAACTCCCCAAAGCTGATGTATAGGGCATTGATGGGGAGGAAACTGAAAGCCACAGACCTGAATTATTTGAAATGATATAAAGGGAGATAACAAAACAGATCAATAAGGCATTTGGCAAGCTCACAGAAGATATAAGTAGTAAGATATTGGGCCCAATAAACTTAACATTTACAGAAGACACTAGCAAAAAGCTAGCAGAGGTAAACAATCAATGCAAAAACATGAATTACCAGCATAGAAAAGAATTAGAGACCATAAAAAGGCTCCAAAGAGAAACTCAGGAGATTAAAACTTCTGTCAAAAATATGGGCTGCAGAAGTGACCAGTGGGAGGACTGTATCAGAACTAGAAGACAGGGCTGATGTGGATGACCATAAATCTTTCAAGATATCTTGAAACAGCAACAGAACATAAAAAATGGATCCAACAACTCCTAGATTACACAAAGAAGACTAATTTAAGATTGACTTGAATTAGTGAAAAATCAAAAGACAAATGGCATAAAAATCTTGTTTACTAAAAAAAAAAAAATACTATTTTCTGAAATAGTAGCAGAAAACTTTCCAAATAAGGGAAAAGAATTTAACATGCCGATAAATGAGGCATATATAACCCCCAAATACCCACAATCAGAAAACAACCTCTTCATGACACATCAAAAATCTCAGAAATCGAAAACAAAAACAGAATCTTGAAAGGGGTTAGAGAAAAACAACAAAATCACCCATAAAGGTAAATCCATTATAATTATAAGAGACTTCTCAATACAAAGTTTAAAGGCCAGGAGAACTTGGGGTGAAGTGTGTCAAGCCCTAAAAGAAAACAATTTCCAGCCCAGGCTGATCTATTCTGCAAAACTATCTTTCAAAATTGATGGAGAACAGGCCAGGGATGTAGCTCAGCAGTGCTGCACCTGCCTGGCAAGTGCAAGATCCTGAATTTGATCCTTGGTACTGGAGAAAAAAAATTTGATGGAGAAGCATAAGGTATTTTCATGACAAAGAGCACCTAAAGAAATTCATGACCACCAAACACTCCAAAACATTCTGAAGGATATCCTAGAAATAAACAATAAAGCTAATAATGACAAAAGGTGTAATAGAATGTATACACGAGGTAGAATGAACAGTTAAGTAGAAGGGAAAGATAGGAAATCAGCAACAAGAAAATAAGGCAATGACAGGAATAAATCAATACTTATCAGTAATAACTCTCGATGTGAATGGTCTCAATTCCCCAATCAAAAGACACAGACTGACAGAATGGATCAAGAAACCAAATTCAATGGTATGCTATATAAAAGAAACACATTTAACCCCAAAACAAACTCACTGACTAAAGATCAAAGGATGGAAAACAATATTCCATGCAATGGGAACCCCTCCAAAAAAGCAGATGTAGCTATCCTATATTCAGACAAAGTGGACATCAAGTTAAAACTGATCAAAAGTGGTAAAGAAGATTACTATGTTTTAATTAAGGGAACAATCCAATAGAAGAGATAACAATTATCAACATATATGCACCAAAGAATGGTGCACCCAACTACATAAAACAAGTATTACATAAAAGACCAGATAAACATAAACACAATTATAGTGGGGGACTTCAATACCACATTATCACAAAAGACAGACCAAGTAGACAAAAAAAAATCAACAGTGAAATATCAGAGTTGAATAAAACCTTAGAAAAAATGGACTTAGTAGATACCTACAGAGTATTCCACGTAACAACAAACACATTCTTCTCAGCAGCACATGGAATTTTCTCTAAAACAGACCACATGCTAGCCAATAAAGCAAGCTTAAATTAATGCAAAAGAATTGAAATTATACCTTGCATATTATCACTTCACAGTGCAATGAAACTATAAATTGACAGAAAAGAAAACACAGAAATTATGCAAATGCATGGAAACTAAAGAATATACTTAAATACCCCGGCCCATAGTAGGTGTTTTTAATCACTGTCTTGCCAGCCTCCCCAGATCTTGGTTTAAATCTGTCTGCATTTCTATATTAATTATTTTCTACATATCTACTTATTGTACAATATTCTTTGCATTTGCCATTTTTAATTATTCTCTGGGAGGGATGGATTTAACAGAAGTTTGTAAGTTTCTTGATGATTGTCAGAGGTTAATATCTCTTACTGCTGACTAGATGACTTAATGAGTAATAAAATGCTCACCTAATGAATAGCCAAGAGAATACCTTTGTGTATCTCCCCAGAGTCAAGGGGACTAAACACATGAAGTTCCTTTTAGTCTGGTTTGTTTTTAGTTTTGTTTTTTGCAAGGTTATAGTTTCACTGCCTGAGTTACTGATAAAATCATTATCATGTTCATCCAGTCAACATGATGTTCTGCAGCTTGAATATTGATGATGTGTGATTATAAAAGACTTCATTAAAGTCTCTTTCTAGTAAAAAAAAATACACTTAAATAAACAATGGGTTACAGAGAAGTCAAAGAAGAAATAAGACTGCTTCAGGGGCTGGGGATTTAGCTCAGTGGTGCCGCACCTGCCTCACAAGCACAAGGTCCTGAGTTTGATCCCTGGTACCCCAAAAAAAGAAAGCTACTTCTAGAGCTAAATGAAAATGCCAGTATAACATACCAGAATTTACAGGACACAATGAAAGCAGCCCTAAGAGGGAAGTTGATAGCTATGAATGCCTACATTGCAAAAACAAAGTGAGTCCAAATAAATAACCTAATGATGGACCTCATGTTCCTAGGAAAACGAGAACAATCCAAACCCAAAGCTGGTAAAAGAAAGGAAATTATAAAGATCAGAGCAGAAATTAATGAAATTGAGACAAAAAAATACAAATAATCAATGAACCAAAGAGTTTGTTCTTCAAAAGAATAAGCAAAATAGGCAAATCCTTAGCCAATCTAATCAAACAAAGGAGAGAAAAGACCCAAATCAATGCAATTAGAAATGAAAAAGGTGAAATCACAATGGGCTCTGCCAAAACAAAAAAAGATTATTAATAACTACTTTGCAAACCTGTATGGCAATAAATTGGAGAATCCAGAAGAAATAAATTCCTGGATGCATATGAATTATCAAAACAGGCAATGAAATGGAAGCAATAATAAAAAAACTCTAATCAAATTCAGTAGCATAGCTGGATATACAAAGTCAACACTCAAAAATCAATAGCCTTCTTGTACACAAATAAAAAACTCATTGACAGAGAAATTAGGGAAACAACACCTTTCACAATAGCATTCCCCCAAAATTAAATACCTAGGAATCAATATAATGAAGGAAGTAAGAGACCTTTACATTGAAAACTACAGTACTGTGAAAAAGGAGATCGAAGAGACTATCAGAAAATGGAAAAATATCTCTTGTTCTTCAGTAGGAAGAACCAATATAGTGACTGACCATGGCTGTCCTTCCAAAATTGTTATACAGATTTACTGCAATCTCGATCATATTACCCATAGCATATCTCACAGAATTAGAGAAAGCAATCCTAAAATTCATTTGGAACCCGAAGAGACCTAGAAGAACAGAATCAATTCTGGGCAACAAAGGCAAGCCAGGGGCATCACAATCCCTGATTTGAAATTATATTACAAAGCTACTGTGATAAAAACAGCATGGTGTGGGCAAAAACATACAAACAACAAAACAAACAGACCTGAAAAATCAATGGAAAAGATTAGAAGACACAGAAACAACTCCAGACATATTCAGCCACCTTATCTTTGACAAAGGAGCCAAACAGCTTCATTGGAAGAAAGATAGCCTATTTAATAAATGGTGCAGGCAAAACTGGCTTTCACATGCCAAAGATTAAAACTAGACCCATGTCTTTCACCATGCACTAAAGTAAAATCGAAGTGGATCAAAGATTTAAATATTAAAACAGAAACA